AGAATACATAGTCCTGACCCTACATTACCTTGGCCACTTCTCAGGGTTGTGTGGACAGCAAGCAACCTTAAGGGATGAGGTAATGCTTCCCTCTAGGACAAAGAGCAGGCTGAATTTCTCAAGCTCAGCATTTCTTGGCTGTGATGTAAACCAACTGCATGTCCAGCATCCATCATGGCCCCTCTGTGTCATCCCTGTGGGACTTAAAGGACATGGGGAGTCAACTTGCTGAACATGTTGCTTGCTGTGCCATGAGAGACACATCCTTTGTCTCTGCTCCCAGAGTCTTGTGTCTTCTATCAGCACCTATAACACTTGTTAGCTTCTAAGAGGGTAATAGCTCAGACCCTTCACAGACCCTGACAATCAAGAATTAAGGGATTGCCCAGCCGGCATGGCTCAGTGGTTGAGTGTCGACCTATGAATCAGGAGGTCAAGGTTAGGAGACTAGCCAGCTGTAGTGGTGGGAGTGTGTGTATGGTGGGGGGGGGGGAGGGGAAGGTGCCCTATAGTGTGCCTTAGAGCATCCCTGGGTGAAAAAAATATTCATGAGATCACATATGCAGGCTGTATAAGATGACCAGTCATCCAAGATTGGGGGTTCCCTGAAATGTGGGACTTTTAAAAAAGCAGACTGAATTTTTAAAAAAGAAACTCACTTCAAATATAATTATACTAGAGGCCTGGTGCACGGATTCGTGCACTGGTGGGATCCCTTGGCCTGGCCTGCACCCTCTCACAATCCGGGACCCCTTGGGGGATGTCAGACTGCCAGTTTAGGCTCAATCCCCGCAGACCAGACAGAGGGACCCCACTGGTGGATGGAATTCATACACTGGGCCTCTAGTATGCATATAAGATCTTTGGTTAATCTCTTCCCCCTCCCCCCTCCCACCATTCCTCTGAGATTCATCAGTCTGTTCCATGTTTCCATGCCTGTGCATTGTGAGTGTCTGCCCCCTGGTGGTCAGTGCACATCATAGCTACCGGTCAAACAGTTGAATGGTTGAAGGGTTGCTTAGGCCAGTGGTCGGCAAACTGCGGCTCGCGAGCCCACATGCGGCTCTTTGGCCCCTTGAGTGTGGCTCTTCCACAAAATACCAACTTCTGCGCATGGGCCACGAAGTTCAATCACACTGTACATGCGTGCCCCGCACGTGGTATTTTGTGGAAGAGCCACACTCAAGGGGCCAAAGAGCCGCGGGACCGCAGTGGGGGGTTGTGACACCGGGAAAGGAGTTGCATAATACCATAGGAAAATCCAACAAAAAGGCCATATAAAAAAGGATTCCCCAACAACATGAACTAAAAGAAAACTGGACAAACTAGACTTTAGAGCAGTGGTTCTCAACCTGTGGGTCGCGACCCCTTTGGGGGTCAAACGACCCTTTCACAGGAGTTGCCTAAGACCATCGGAAAACGCATATATAAATACATATTGTTTTGGTGATGAATCACTATGCTTTAATTATGTTCCATTTGTAACAATGAAATTGGGGGTCACCACAACATGAGGAACTGTATTAAAGGGTCGCGGCATTAGGAAGGTTGAGAACCACTGCTTTAGAGTAAAAATATAACCTGAGTAGCCCTCAGGTTACTAAGGAAAGTTTTAAAACTTTCTGAAAAAGAAATATCCAGGTCCAAATGGTTTCACTGGTGAATTTTGCCAAATATTTAAAGAATAAATAACAATAAATACACATTATCTTTTCCAGAGAATAGAAGAGGAGGAAAAACTTCCTAACTCATATTATACTGATGTCAACACCAAAGATGGTAGAAATAAACAAAACTAGACACCAATATCTCTGATAAACATAGATGCAAAAACCCTCAACAAAAATGTTAGAAGTCTGAATCCAGAAATATATAAAAAGACTAATATACCATCACCAAGGGGGGTTTATTCCAAGAATGCAAAAATCTATCATAATAACACCTAAAGAAGAAAAACCACAAAACCATATCAATAAATAAAGAAAAAAGCATTTAAAAGACATCCAAAATAGGGAGGAACCAAGATGGCGGCATAGGTAAACACCGGAGACTGCTGCCGCAAACAACCACTTCAAAAATACAACTAAAAGACGGAACAGACATCAACCAGAACCACAGGAAGGCTAGCTGAGGAGAGACTCTTCAACTAGAAGGAAAGAGAACAGCAAACCGAGGCTCAGAGGAGGTGCAGTGTGGAAAATACAAAGGTTTGCAGCGGCTGCCGGGGTTCTGAGAAGCAGAGCCTCTGGGAATGGGACTGAGAGCAGCCATAACTGCTCCCTCCGCCCGCCCTGTTGAGCCCGCCCCGCCCAAGCCCTGCACAGAGCCATTTGCTGGATCGCCTCAGGCAAAGGCTAGATTAGCACCTCCCCAGAGGACAGAAGTTTTCCACACAGCTGATTCTCACAGCCAGTCAGCCTGGTGGTCAAATCCCTCAGTATTAACTACAACAATCCAGGCTCAACTAGAACAAGACTGCGCACAAAGACCACAGGGGGTGCACCAAGAAAGCATAAAAAAATGCGGAGACAAAAAAACATGACAGAAATGGAGGATATGGAGCTAAAAAGCGCAATTTTGAGGGCTTGCAATAAACTCGTGGAGAGCCTCACAAAAACTAATGAGACCCTCGATGCTACGATAAAGAAACTAGAAATTAAGCATACACGAACTGAAATAAAGAATATTATACCCAATAGCAGACCAGAGGAGCACAAGAATCAAGCCAAAGATTTGAAATTCGAAGAAGCAAAAAACACCCAACCGGAAAAGCAAAATGAAAAAAGAATCCGAAAATACGAAGATAGTGTAAGGAGCCTCTGGGACAGCTTCAAGCGCACTAATATCAGAATTATTGGGGTGCCAGAAGATGAGAGACAGCAAGATATTGAAAACCTATTTGAAGAAATAATGGCAGAAAACTTCCCCCACCTGGTGAAAGAAATGGACTTACAGGTCCAAGAAGCGCAGAGAACCCCAAACAAAAGGAATCCAAAGAGGACCACACCAAGACACATCATCATTAAAATGCCAAGAGCAAAAGACAAAGAGAGAATCTTAAAAGCAGCAAGAGAAAGAGACTCAATTACCTACAAGGGAATACCCATACGACTGTCAGCTGATTTCTCAACAGAAACTTTGCAGGCCAGAAGGGAATGGCAAGAAATATTCAAAGTGCTGAATAACAAGAACCTACAACCAAGAGTACTTTATCCAGCAAAGCTATCATTCAGAATTGAAGGTCAGATAAAGAGCTTCACAGATAAGGAAAAGCTAAAGGAGTTCATCACCACTAAACCAGTATTATACGAAATGCTGAAAGGTATCCTTTAAGAAGAGGAAGAAGAAAAAGGTAAAGATACAAATTGTGAACAACAAACATGCATCTATCAACAAGTGAATCTAAGAATCAAGTGAATAAATAATCTGATGTACAGAATGAACTGGTGATTATAATGAATCAGGGACATAGAAAGGGAATGGACAGACTATTCTTGGGGGGAAAGGGGAATGGGAGATGTGGGAAGAGACTGGACAAAAATCGTGCACCTATGGATGAGGACAGTGGGTGGGGAGTGAGGGCGGAGGGTGGGGCGGGAACTGGGAGGAGGGGAGTTATGGGGGGGGGAAAAAGAGGAACAAATGTAATCTGAACAATAAAGATTTAATTAATTAAAAAAATATATAAGGGAACTTTGAAAAAAAAAGAAAATTAAAAAAAAATAAAAAAATAATAAAATAAAAGACATCCAAAATAATAATTAAAAAAAAAAACTCTCAGCAAACTAGACTAGAGAAGAACTTTCCCAACCTTAGAAAGGGCATCTACAAACAGACTTACAGCTAACATCATATTTTTTTTTAATATATTTTATTGATTTTTTACAGAGAGGAAGGGAGAGAGATAGAGAGTTAGAAACATCGATGAGAGAGGAACATCGATCAACCGCCTCCTGCACATCCCCTACTGGGGATGTGCCCGCAACCCAGGTACATGCCCTTGACCGGAATCGAACCCGGGACCCCTCAGTCCGCAGGCCGACGCTCTATCCACTGAGCCAAACCGGTTTCGGCGCTAACATCATATTTAATGAAGAAAGACTGCATGCTTTTTTCCTAAGATTAGGAACAAGGCAAGGATATCTACTTTTACTATTCATAGTCAACATAGTACTAACAGTCTTAGCGCAATAAGGCAAGAAAAAGAAATAAAAATATACAAATTGTAAAGGAAGAAATATAGCTGTCTTTATTCACATAAGACAAATTTATAGATCCAAAGAATTCCAGAGAAGCTACAGAAATACTCTTAGAACTAATGAGTTTAGCAAAGTCAGATACTAGGTCAATTTACAAACACCAATCATACTTTCATAAATGAGCAATGAACAATTGGAAACAATTTTTAAATAATCATATCTACAATAGCTCCAAATAATGAAATATTTGGATATAAATCTAACAAAACATGTCTAAGATCTGCATGTTGAAACTTACAAAATGCTGATGAAAGAAATTGAAGAATGTATGTCAACTATAACTAAAAAAAAATCAAAGAAGACTAAATCATTGGAAAGACATGCTGTGTTCATGGATTGAAAGCTCAAAATAGTAAAGATGCCAATTCTCTCCAAATTATTCTACAGATTTAAAGCAATTTCAATTAAAATTGCAGCAGAATTTTTTGTAGATATAGTCAAGCTGATTCTAAAATTTATATGGAATGCTAAATGAACTAAAATATCTAAAACATTTTTTAAAAAGAACAAATAAGCCCTAACCGGTTTGGCTCAGTGGATAGAACACTGGCCTGTGGACTGAAGGATCCCAGGTTTAATTCCGGTCAAGGGCATGTACCTTGGTTGCAGGCACATCCCCAACAGGGGGTGTGCAGGAGGCAGTTGATCGATGTTTCTCTCTCATTGATGTTTCTAACTCTTTATCCCTCTCCCTTCCTCTATGTAAAAAGTCAATAAAATATATTTTTTAAAAAAGAAATAAAATAAATTTTAAGGCTAATGTATAGTGACATAGATCAGATCAGTGATTTCTTTGGAAAGTGAGCAGGCATACAGAGGAACCAAAGGAAAGGATTACAAAGGGATACAGGGAAAGTCTTGGGGGTAGTGGATAGATTAATTATCTTGCTTGTGGGAACAAACTTATCAAATTGTGTACTTTAAGTATGTATAGGTCAATTATAACTCAATAAAGCAATTTAAAAAATATTCTTTCCAAAGTAATATATTACTTTTATATCTACGAGGTGGCAGTTGGAACCATGGATGTTGCCAAAGTGTTTAATTCACATCCTCTAGCATTATTTAATTTTTAAAATAATATATAGGAAGAGTAAGATGAAGGTAGGTTACCATTGCAGCACATTTTATAAGATTATGATGAAAATAAAAAGGAACATAATTGTAGTAGATCTTTATCAGATTGCTATTTATTAGTTTGAGGCTTTAGGTATAGTATGTATGAATTGCAGAATAAAGAACAGGTATAGTCTCTTCCCTCTACCCCTGTCCACCAGCAATTTGTAAAGAATCAAGAGGCTGGTTGACAGTTGAACAATTCTTGACATTTTTATAGTACCTTTGCAGAAGACCTTATAGTATGTTATCAAACCCATCTGCCACTCCTTGTTAAAAATCTCTACATTTAAAAATAGTAAATAAAAATGTAATTCTGTTATAACAGCATTGCTTCAGTTTTTGGTAAGTAGATTGAAATTTCAGCTCCAGAATTTTCTAGCTGTCTGCAAAGTTTCCTCCAGTAGGAAAGAAGGCCTGTCACTTAGCCTACAAAAGGATAGGGAGGAATTCCTTTGACCCCCAGGCCAGTTATCTGTTAAAAAAAGAAAAGAGAGAAACTGTGATAAAAAGTAATCCACAGGCATTTTTCAAAAGCACTTTTATGATTCACATTATATATTTAACTACCTATTATTCTTATTTTATTCCCTATCATAAAAAGGAATTACTTGATTAGGTATTTATGATCTAACCCAATTTTTCACACAGATAATAATCTAAACAGCAACCATTTACAACTAACTGGGATTTAAAGCTGAATTTATTTCTATAATTTCACAGCTATTAAGAAAGGGATTTGAACCAAATGATTTCTAAATTTCTTTTCAGCTCAAAAAGTCTATAGTTTTTTTTTTATCAGTATTTGTTTTGTTGTAAAAAATTAAAAACCTGAAAATATTCTTGTGACATCAAAACAATCAACGAATCTTATTTATTTATTCATTATATATTTTTATTGATTTCAGAGAGGAAGGGAGAGGGAGAGATAGAAACATCAACAATGATGTGAGAGAATCATTGATTGGTTGCCTCCTGCACGCCCCACCCCCACCGGGGTTTGAGCCCATGAGCTGGGTTTGTGCCCTGAGGGCATGTGCCCTGACTGGGAATCAAACCCTGAATCAAACTGGGAATCCAACCGTGACCTCCTGGTTCATAGGTTGACGCTCAACCAGTGAGTCACGCTGGCCGGGCCAATCAACTGATCTTATAAACATGTTTCAAATACTGGTTTTCCAAGCCCATTCTACTGATTTATAGAATTTCAGCAAACACTACTGAAGTGAAAATTATTTTTAAGAACTGTAAAAGGCGTCTAAAAATGTTGTCCTGGACTTCAGATAACTTTCAGTCTAGAAAATCTAAGTAAAACGTTTTTAAGTGTAGCATGATGAGCTTAAAATGCTAACTGGAATTATGTCTTGGAAGTATGAAAAAGCACCAATCACTTGATTATACTTAACTGAGGATCTCCCACCTCATCCTCAATGAAAAGAAATAGCCAGATCACCTTGAAAATTCCACCAGCTTTAGGTTGCCGCAAAAGATCCTCAGGGCCTATTCCATCCCGGGCACAGGTCACGTACATTTCTGAGTAATCCTTCCCTCCAAAGCAACAGGAGGTAGTTTTATCCACAGGCAACTTCACAGTTTGGAGTCTTTTCCCTAGAGCAGTGGTCGGCAAACTCATTAGTCAACAGAGCCAAATCTCAACAGTACAACGATTGAAATTTCTTTTGAGAGCCACATTTTTTAAACTTAAACTATATAGGTAGGTACAGTGTTATTAATTAGGGTGCTCCTAAGCTGGCCTTTGCTAAAAACCTCCTCAATCTGATTCTGAGGTCGACCCCTTCCAACTCTCCCATCCTCAACTCCTGCGTATGAATCGCGTGCTGCGTCTCCTGTCGCCAGACCAATCGACAGCCCCCACTTCTAACGCCACTTCTTCAAAATAGACTCGCCCAGGCCGAAAACCGACTTCTGCGCATGGGCCACGAAGTTTCAATGGCACTGAACATGCGTGCCCGCATGTGGTATTTTGTAGAAGAGCCACACTCAAGGGGCCAAAGAGCCGCATGTGGCTCGCAAGCCGAAGTTTGCCGACCACTGCCCTAGAGCACCAAATATTTTATTTAAAGTCTATTTCTAGCAAATTTCCAACCTGCAAAAGCTTTCAGGACCCTTTCCAGAGTAATAGAAGAGTTTAAAGAAGATGGTGGAGGTCACATTTCAACCATGTATAGCACCTACCTTCCCTGACAATTTATTTGTTTTGAGCAAAAAGACTTATCTGCAAAGGAAAAGAAGTTCTGACTATAAATTGGGGGCTATCTATTTGGCCTTGATTTCTAAAATCATCCAATTGACACCTTTGAATATAGGGTGTCCCCCAAAAATGTATACACACACTTTGAATAATTATAAAGGCAGTGTTTATTAAAATATATTTTATTTTCAAAATTGAGCTATCAGGCCCTAGCTGGTTGTGCTCAGTGGATAGAGCGTTGGCCTGTGGACTGAAGGGTCCCAGGTTCGATTCTGGTCAAGGGCACATGCCCGGGTTGCAGGCTCCATCCCCAGTAGGAGGCATGCAGGAGGCAGCCAGTCAATGATTCTCTCTCATCATTGATGTTTCTATTTCTCTCTCCCTCCCTTTCTGAAATTAATAAAAAATATATTTTAAAAAATTGAGCTATTAGCTGTTATAGTGTGTATTCATTTGGAGGGATACCCTGTATATTGCTGTCTAACTTTATTAATAATGAATTTTCTCCAGTCCCTAGTGTCTGGTGTTTCTAGACATGACAGGGATTTTCCATTGTGTTGTGAGCCTACCTGTCTCAGGATCTAAACGAATCACTCTTCCTCCATCATAACAGGCCACCCAGAGCTTCCCCTCGGCATCAATACACATTCCATCTGGGATTTGTTCGTCTTTCTCCAGCTTGTAAACACTTCTGCGGTTGGCTACGGTTTGAAAAAAAGCACCCCCCTAAACAACAAGCTACTCAATACTAAGCACCAAACAATGAGCAATCAAGTGATTATAAATACTGACCACTTCTGCTTATCTGGGTTCTGGTGTATGGGAACCACAGGCGGGATGGTTCAAAAGGATTCCTAACTCTAAACAATGACCACAAATCTGATGGGTACCCCTCAACAAAGGATTTTCACCACATGATTTGGGGTGGATTCATCCTTTAGGTTGGGTACACACATGTCTGTCGAAGCTTTCAGAGGAGAGAAAAAAGAAAGCAGAATTCTTTTTAAAAAATTGATTTCAGCCAGAACCGGTTTGGCTCAGTGGATGGAGCATCAGCCTGCGGACTCAAGGGGTCCCGGGTTCGATTCCGGTCAAGGGCATGTACCTTGGTTGCGGGCACATCCCCAGTGGGGGGCGTGCAAGAGGCAGCTGATCAATGTTTCTCTCTCATCATTGATGTTTCTATCTCTCTCTCCCTCTCCCTTCCTCTCTGTAAAAAATCAATAAAATATATTTAAAAAAAATTTGATTTCAGAGAGGAAGGGAGAGGGAGAGAGATAGAAACATCAATGATGAGAGAGAATCATTGATCAGCTGCCTCCTGCATACCCCCTACTGTGGATCGAGCCCGCAACTCAGGCATGTGCTCTTGACTGGGAATCAAACCGTGACCTCCTGGTTCATGGGTCAATGCTCAACCACTGAGCCACATCGGCCAGGCAGGAAGTAGAATTCTTAATAAAATACCAATAGGCCCTAGCCAGTTTTGCTCAATGGACAGAGCATCGGCCTGTGGACTGAAGGGTCCCGGGTTTGATTCCGGTCAAGGGCACATGCCCGGGTTGCTGGCTTGATCCCCAGTAGGGGGCTTGCAGGAGGCAGCCAGTCAATGATTCTCTCTCATCATTGATGTTTCTATCTCTCTCTCTCCCTCTCCCTTCCTCTCTGAAATAAATAAAAAAATATAAAATAAAATAAAATACCAATATATCTTTTTGAGGCTGAACTGAATCCCTGCATGACCACCTCAGATATATAGGGTGTCCCAAAAAATGTATACATGCACTCTGAATAATTATAAAGGCAGTGTTTATTAAAATACAATTCATTTACAAAATTGAGCTATCAGCTGTTAAAGTGTGTATACATTTTTTTGGGACACCCTGTACTTCAGCCTGTGGTTAGACCTTTGCAGTTTTACTTACAAAAATGCCTACTTTGATTAACCTCAAGATCTAAAAGGCAACTCAATGGTGCCATGTGACCAATTCATTCACAAAAACTAGTACAATGTATGAGTTCTGTTTCTGCCTAATGCTTCATAATCACCTTACAAAAACGAAATATTAGAAGAGTTTCTTTCGCCCTAACTGGTTTGGCTCAGTGGATAGAGCATCGGCCTGCAGACTGAAAGGTCCCAGGTTCGATTCCGGTCAAGGGCATGTACCTTGGTTGCGGGCACATCCCCAGTAGGAGATGTGCAGGAGGCAGCTGATCAATGTTTCTCTCTCATCAATGTTTCTAACTCTCTATCCATCTCTCTTCCTCTCTGTAAAAAATCAATAAAATATATTTTTTTAAAAAGAGGATTAAAGATCTATCCATATTATGCCACCTGTGGCCACATTTAGTTGTGTTAAGAGCCATGATCAACTGCATTATAGTCAAGTGTGTGTAATCATTACCATACTAGGATAATATCATTGGACAGCTCTCTATTTGACGAAGTAAGGATCTTTACACATGGGTGGAGGGATAGGCCGCTTACTAATGATATACATAAGAAAAAATATGAGCAGTATTAAGAAAAATAATGAAAAAGTACGTACAGATCTTTCCTGTGTGCAAGTCATAGTCAAAAGCATCCACGGAGTAGGACAGGCTGTCTATGTAATAGAAGATTTTGTGGTCCAGGGACCAATCCAAGCCATTGGAGATGTCCACCTGGTCAAAGTACTTTTCCACATGGTGGTCAGGAAAGAGGCAGTACAGGGACCCTTGGTGCCGCT